TTGAATTGGGAGTCTATAATTTATTTATTTTTTTAAACAATAGCCAACCTTCTTGTGTCTAGGATTTTTACACTTCTCTTTCTAAACTTGACAGATGCTTCAAGTTCTCAGGCTTCTCCACTGTCCCTTGTGCAGTTGCAATATTTTTCTCTGGTCTGTTCCCACTAATTCTCTAAACTATCTGTGTCCTTCACATAGTCCCTTTCTTTGCTGAGTTGGCTCATGTATGTTGCACTTTCCATAGGAAAACAAAATAATTTCTGCATTTATGGACTACATTTTCTCATTACTTTGTATAATTGGTGCTTGCTTGACAATATATAAAATAAATAGGAACATTGTCTAAAATGTGAAGAATTAGAAAGAGACTTAATTTTAACTCTTTCTCTATATTTGTTTTCCACACTACTTGGTTATAAATGTTTGGATGTTAAAATGACTAAAACTACATCATGTAACCCTTTCATTTGCATTTCATTATTTTTTGGCTATATTTAGAAAAAAAATCAAATTCTATGGTACCAAAACAACTTTAGTATTTCCTAATGATAGTGAAAAATACTATTTTATGTAACAGTTTTTCCAGATATGAAATACCCACATGTCTTGTATTTAAAATATTGCTGAGTAGTTGGAAAAATTAGGATGGAGACACCCCAACAAAATAAGAACATGTCCCAAGTAAAACAAGTCCACCTAAAGTTTTACAGAAAATATTTATTGTGATGAGACTAATAAAATCTTTCTGACATTGAATAGTATTAAAAAATGTTTCTCAAAGTGTCTAATCAGTCAGGAAGAAGCAGTGTCAGCTTTGCTGTTTGTCTGGTAGTTTTGAATTTTGGGGGGTACTGTGTCTTTTTTTCCTGAGAATGTAAAATTGGGCTCTCACTGCTGACACAAATGTGCTAAGAGACTGTTGTAAAATATTTATGGTATAGAATAGCAGATAAATAGCTAGCATGCACAACTTGAATGCCAATTAATACCCTGGAAAACATTTTCAATGCTTTTAATAATTCAACATGGCTTATTTTACTAATGAAAATCTAGTTTAACCATTTCCATGGTAATGTAACTAAGTGGGTAAGGGAGTAAAAATAGCCTCAGGCTCACTAAAGCCCTGGATGCCTTCACTGTGGCTTTATTTCTGCTCCACCTAATAAGGCATGCAAACTTCAGCATTAAGTATCCCTAACTAAAATCCATTCCATTTTACCACTAGATTGCTTGATCTATTTAGTGCTGGATTCAATTAGCATGCTTAGAGAATCTGAAAAATGAGATACATACCAAAATTTAAGTCCCCAGGGAGAGCTAAGTGCAATAACCAGAAGGTGACTTGTGTCTGTCAGAGCCCTCTCTCACGGTTGATCTCAGGGCAGTTCTGTAGGAGTAATCCAGCACCATAAGAGATAGACTTGTAGTTCAGCTCAGTGTTTCTTCAATTAAAGTGCATTGTGTCAGGATGGGAAAAGTGTCGACTCCGAGATTCTTCATCACTAGATCAGAGCATTCTCGATGTCCTTCCTATCAGATAAAATGGCCTTTAAAGTTTGCTAGGAAGATGCAGTGGCAGAAGACAGGTGCTTGCTTCCTTAAATCGACATTCGGAGAAAAGAGGGCATAGCTAACGGGTGGGGATGAACACACAACCCCTCTCCTTCCAGGTCCAGCAGGAAAGAAATTGAATGATTTTACCCACTTTGCTACACAGATGATTACAAGACCCGAAGCAATTACCAAGCTGACTAAGGTACCTCATTTGATTATATTCTGCGAAGACAAAAATAAATGAAAACAAAAAATCAGAAACATCCTTTCTAAATGTCTCCTTTCAGCCAAAAAGATGCTCTTTCTCATTGCCACTTACATACAGAAGGTTTGGAGCAGCCCAGCTTGTGGCATAGTCCCTCCCCCGTGACAACCAGCTCTCTCTCTCTCATTCTCTCTCCCTCCACTCCCTCCCTCCCTCCCTGCCCCTGACTCCCTCCCTTCCTGCTTCTCTTTCTCCTCTCCAGCTGCCTTAGTCTGTTGAAGCTGCTGCTGATTAATCAGGGATTCTGAAACAAAGAACCTACCTTCTGAAATAAGCAGTAATCTTTCTTCTCTGTTTCTGCAATCCGTCTGCATTGAACGGCAAGGCTGCCAGCGTTCTAGCACCTTGGATAGTTCCTGCTCACTAGGCCCATTGGAAAAGGGAGAAGCAGCAACTGAAGAAATTGCAAGAAACCGGAAAGCGGCATCGTTCTAGTTTGGATTTCGGCTCCCTGGGGGCTCCCATCCTCATTAAAGGCCTCACATCTAGGCAACAGAACCTCTCTCTTTTATCTAACTGAGCTGAAGTCTGATTAGTAAATAATAAAAGGAAAAGAGAGTAAAGAAACACCCTTCACTTATATTCACTATAGCACTAATTCAGTCTTTATGGAGAGGAAAAATATAAATCCATTGAAAACAAATGTTCTTACTACAGAGAATGGTTAAGTTATAAGCATTTCATCCCTGGTGTGGCTAATGAAAATGAGCAACAACTTAAATGGAACATCTAGATCTCAGTTTGATACCTTTATTTGATATCAATTTTGCCTCCACCCTCCCTGCACAGCCGAGCCATGCACACAATTACTGCTGACGTACTTCAGGCTGCTGCTTGGGGAGAGAGGGGAGGAGCCTTTTAACCTCATCAAAACAGCTTCATGCCACCTGCTCCCATGGCATGAGAACAAAACTAGCCCACTTAGAAAGAACATGCACAGTACACACGTGTGTGGAACAAAGGTCTCACTCAGACTGCATATTTTTTTAACTAAAATAAGATGCAAAATAATTGTGACATGTATGTCATTAATTCCTATAGACTCGTTGTTAAAATTAAAGTCATTCTATTTCTGATATTTCCCAAGGACTCTCCTCATTCTGTTCTTAATACTCTACTGAATATATACATATATATCATGTTATATACCACAACTTATATATGGGAGTGTGTTTGTGTGTATTTGTATTTACTAAGTTCAAAGTTTTTATCATACTTGCTCCTCCCCAGTAAAAACTAAAATGTGCATGTTATAATCTATTAACTTTGCACTATGATAAAAGGAACAATATACAATACATTTCCGATTGATATGGGCTAAAAAAAAGCAATTCTGATGGGAGGGGATGTGCTTATTATTTGATAGTGACCAGTTGATTTTTTCCCCTCACGTTCTTTTTCAGTAACTCACTGTAAATGACCTTCAATTGCAGGTTGATTTTCCCAAGAGTTATTTTTAACATCTATATTCATAACCAATGTCTTAGAAAATAGTTTTCTAAATTTAGTTTTTAATGCATTGACAGACCACAAAAATAAACTTAAGTTCACCTGTCTAATTCTTAAATGTCACCTGGAACTATGCTATAATTTTCTTAAATTATATTTCTTTTACTTGTAAGTACCCGAGGAAAAATAAAATCAACACATTACATTACTATAAAGCTTTTCGATTTCACATGTTCTGAAGTTCATTCCTGAAGCTCATCACTTATTTCTTGGTCTTTGTGTATCTAGCTTTTGGTTGGAACAGGATATCTGTTTAATTTTAAGAAGGATTCTGCAAGATTAGATAGATGAAAAGAAAAGAAGGAGGAGAAATACAAATGGGAAAGAGAAGAGGCCACACCTCTCTCATACTCTCTTCCCCCATCCCAATGCTCTCCTTCTCCCTCTCTCTCTCTCTCTCTCTCTGTCTTACGAAGGTTCTAAATACCTAGCACATTGCTGAAAACTGCCTCAAGCACCACTTATAAACTAATAACAGCCACCACACTGTGATCAAGAGGTTTACTAATGTGCCATAATTTTTGGTAGTGAAGTGTTCTCATAGATTTTGTCTTTCAGCACATGACCAAAAGTGGAAAAAATTCTTCAGGAAAAAAAATTATTGACAGACATTTTAGAAAATGGAAATACTTTATCATGACCGATAATTTTGCCAGTCCAGCGGTCTATATTTTGAACTATAGAGAGTTTGGATAAGCTGTAGTGTAAAGTCCATTTCTATATATGAGAAAAATACTGCCAAGATAAGTACACTGACTTACTTCCAAGCTCACGTTTATTGCCTCATTAGGATTAAGACCCAAAGTCACTGGGCTGACTGCAGGTCACTTCATCTTTGGCCAGTACAGTGGTTCTCAGTCCCCTTGATTTCACCCACCAGAATAATCCTAACAAAGTGAGGAGAGGCTGACATACAGTTGCCAAGTGTAAAAAATGAAGAATTTGCCATTTCCTTACCACAAAAAATAAAAGGCTTCTTTATATTAGAAGAATAGAGAAAGCATACTTATAACAATAGATGGTCTTTTAAGTTTCATATTTTCAACTTTAGGAAAATATATATTTTCCTTCATTTCCTTCCTTCCCTTCTTCCTTCCTTCTTTTGTTTCTTCTTTCCTTCCTTCCTTCCTTGCTTCCTTCCTTCCTTCCTTCCTCCCTTCCTCCTTTTCTTCCTCCCTTTCTTCCTCCCTCCCTCCCTTCCTCCATCCCTTCCTTTCTCCCTTCCTTCATTCCTTCTTTCCTTCCTTCCTCCCTTCCTCCCTCCCTCCCTTCCTTCCTTCCTTCCTTCCTGATATCCTGCCTCCCTGCCTTTCTTTTCTTTTTCTTTCTTTTTCTCTTTATATTACAGAATAGAGCTTGAGAATTATCACATTATACCAACCCCATTTTCTCAGTCCCACATTTTCCTCATTCTAGGTATCAATGTCACTGATGGGGCAATATCTTCTCTGGAGACATATTAGTGTATAGGAGTTTATAAAAACCTTTGAGGATCATGCTGAGAAGGACCCCAGAACTACTTTAGGTCTCACTGAATGAAACAGCAAAGGATCTTTACTCTTGCAAGTCATCTTAGAGCCAAATGCAGAACTCACCTCTACTCATTTCAATAGTATTCAGAGAAAAGTGCATTGGAAAAACTTTAAGTTAAAAATCCTCATATCAGGAATAAAGGTATAGAGATATGTAAAAAGCTCAAATTATACTCATGCATTGGTTTATTTCTAGTGCATCTTTATAAAATACATGGATGTTTCTGATGTCAATAAGAAACAAGTCATTGAGATACCTGATGACTTCATATTTCTTTTAAAGTTCTTTAGTCAGGGTAGAGTTTAGCTCTTTGGTTACACTGTATTAATGGTGTTTGGTGTTTTAGGGGTTAAATAGGTCCTTTCAGTGAACTTGGATAGACCAGAAGAGTCAGCGCCCTGAAAAATTCTTCTTATTCTATACATCAGCCAGATAGTGGAAGGTGCTTGATGTATAAAAGTGATGTAAATGAGAAAAGTGGGAATTGAAATAGAACAATTTAGTTACCCAAATTTTAAAGGGTTTATTCAAATACATGAAGTGAGGATGTACTCTCTGAAGTCATATCAAAATTTATTACAAAGCCTTTCTAGTTTTTTTTTTTTTCCATGATCTGTACTCTTTCTATTATTCTTTTCACATTTAGCTTAGGGAGGTGACCCCTCTGTTATAATGAAATTATTCCACTAGGGAAAAAGCTAATCTCCTTCCCATCCAATCAGGATTTCTAACCCTTCTGGTAACAGCGTGAAATGAAAGTCTTGGTAGAATGAAAACCATATGCTCCTCGTGATTTTTGCCTGTAACAATGTAGACGTCGACAGAAGTCGCACATATGACTTAGGGGTCGTGGGGCAGCAGATGGCAATATGGGTGCTCCAAGATGCAGCATACTCAGTAGCTAAAAAAGAAAGAAAAAGTAAAAGATTTATGGTCTAATAATACACAAAAAAACTGCATTTATAGTGCCAAGGGGGAAAACTGGCAATAAATGAAATATTCCCATGACAAGAGACTTAAGAATAGATCCCAATATCCCTCCATTGTTTTGTCCAACAGATATTGTCTAGTAAAGATTTCAGAAATACCATCAATGTATTCATCGCTATACTAAAAATGATAAAAATATTGCTAAATAAGGATCCATATATTCTAGTGAATCAGACACCCCCACTCCAACCAACCATCTCTCTTCTTTGAATGAATAATATCTATACTTTTCAAAAGTCAAATATATCTTACCCTCATAGTTTGTCCTAATTTACCACATTCAAACTGGATGCTTGCTCTCTGTATTATGAAATATCCAGTATAATTAAAAATAAAGTCATGAATTTTTTATACTCTACCAAATATTCCTATTTCATTGTTCAAATGTTTTTGCCTAACAGTCCTTAAGAGTGGAGCCCTTCCTTTCTGTTCCCACGGCCCTAGTGTATAGATTGTGTCTAGTCAGTGGTAGGGATTTTCTGAATGAATGCATGACTACATATCTCATCTGATGACGTGTTCTGCAGAAGTAGAAAATTCAAAAGTACCCATATAATGAACATGAGATTGTCTTTTTTAAAATAAAAGTATAAATGGAAATTTAAATATAGAAGTAACCAAACTAAATTCCAAGTAAGTGAGGAAGAAAAATATTTCCAAAGGGACTCCATAGTTTTTCTAGCTAAAAATGCAAAATAACCAGTTTGAAACTTGCTAGAAATAATAAAATTGCTCCATAGGAAGACCAACTGAATATATAAACATAAGGATCATATTTAGAGAAAACAGTAAGATTCTTCTAAGATACTGTTTTAGTCAACTCAGGCTTTGAAAACAAGATACAATCGACTGAGTGGCTTAAATAACAGAATTTTATTTTTCACGGTTCTGGAGCTTGGGTAGGCCAAGATCAAGGTGCTGGTAGATTTGGTTCCTGGTCAGGGATTCTTTGCGGGCTTGCAAATTGCGCTTTCTGGCTGTGTGTCCTCACATGGGAGGGAGAGAGAGAGACAGAGTCTCTTCCTCTTCTTATAAGGACACTAATCCCATGACAGTGGCCTCACCCTTTTGACTGCTTCCTAACTGTATTCCCTCCCAAATGCCCCACCTCTAGATACCATCACACTGGGGCATAGAGCTCCAATGTATGGACTTTGAGGCAGACACAAAGATTCAATCCAAAACAGAGACATAAAAAAGATTCGGGAAAGTATAGAAATTCCTTGTTCTTGAATAGGAAGAAAAAATTTAATAAACAATTACTTCTTACTAAATTCACTAGAGTGAATGCAATTCCAATTTAAATAAAACTGTTTTGTAGGCCTTGAAAAGCTATCGGCAGAGATGTTCTTGACTAAATATTAAAACATCCTGCAAAGCTTTATTGGTTTTATTGTAGTATGGCACAAGACTTGATTGTGAATCTATAGTATAGGTTAGAAAGTGCAGGGAAAATATATACAACTGTAGGTATTTAGCATTAAATATGTCATTGCATATTAATAAATAATAAAATTGAAAAACAGAGAAATGTATACATACACAATGAATTTTCACAGTTCCTTACATGCAAATAAATCTAGACACTTGCAAAACAAAATGCGGTCTAAGAACCTACAGCATCAACTCATTATATATGCAATTTGGATCTCTCCCCAAATTGCCTGTCTTAGTCTGTTCAGGCTGCTATAATAAAATGTCACAGACTAGGTGGCTTAAATAACAGAAATTAGTTTATCACAGTTCTACAGAGTGGAGGTCTGAGTTCAGAATGCCAACGTGCTTGGTTTCTGGTGAAGGCTGTCTTTCTGGTGTCCTCACATGGGGTGGGGGAGAGATTGAGATAGAGAGAGAGAGAGAGAGAGAGAGAGGGACAGCTAGCTCTCATAAAGTCACTAATCCCATCTTCAGGGCCCTACCCCGTGACCTAATTACCTCCCCAAGGCTCTATCTCCAAATATCATCACATTGAGAATTTAGGGTTTCAACATATGAATTTGAGGGGACACAAGCAGATAGTCCATGACATTATTTGGGTCAGGATCTGCATTATAACATATGTCTAGGTGATTGGGGTTACATATTAACATTTGAGTAAAACTGTTCAAAGAAATTTCTCTGATGATGAAAATGGTATATATCTGCACTGTCAAAAATAATAACCATTAGCCTGATGCAGTAGCATGAACCTGTAGTCAGCCTGCTTGGGAAGCTTAGGCAAGACGATTGCTTGAGCCCAGGAATTCAAGGCTAGCTGGGCAGTGTAAGGAGGGCCAGCCCCTGAGAAAATAAAATATAATATAATAGCCACTAGCTACACATGGCTATTGAGCACTTAAACTTTTGTTAGTATGACTGAGGAATCACATTCAAAATTTTATTTTAATTAATTTAAATTTAAAATCCACATGTAAATAATGGCTACCATATTGAACAATTTATCTCCAGATGTCTGAAATATTTGTATATGAAAACAGTAATTTACGAAAATAAATTTTAACATTATCTTAGAGTAGAGATGGCCCATCTCAAGATAACTAAAGATAAAGTTCAAAACAACTAAGTGATAACAAAGAAAACTGAATACATAAAAATGTAAAACTTTTTTTAAAATTTATTTTTAACCTTTATGTTAGGTTCGTGGGTTCATGTGAAGGTTGGTTATATCGGTAAACTCATTTCATGGGGGATTGTTGTACAGATTATTTCATCACCCAGGTATTAAGCCTAGTACCCAATAATTTCCTTGTGCTCATCTCCCTCCTCCCAAACTCCACCCTCAAGTAGACCCCACTATCTGTTATTCTCTTCTTTGTGTTCTTGAGTTCTCATCATTTAGCTACCACTTATAAGTGAGAACGTGTGGTATTTGGCTTTCTGTTCCTCCATTGGTTCAACCATTGCGGAATGCAGTAGGGTGATTCCTCAAAGAGCTAAGAGCAGAATTACCATTTGACCCAACAGTCTCATTCTGGGTATACTCCGAGGAATATAGATCAAAGATACAGCATGTGAATGTTCACTGCATTACTATTCACAATAGCAAAGTCATGGAATCAACCTAAACACCCACCAATGACAGATTGGATAAAGAAATTGAGCTACATATACACCATGGAATACTATGCAACCACGAAAAAGAATGAAGTAATGTTTTTGTGGGAACATGGATGGAGCTGGAGGCTATTATTCTTAAAAATGTAAAACATTTAAGTAGGAAAAGAGTATAAATAAAGTTAACAGTTGTGTATTTCTATATTTTATTATAAATAAACAAGAACTAAACACCATAGCACTAAACAAGGGCAAAGAAAAGGAAGGGGTCAATCATAAATAAGAAATCGACATGGCAAATACATACAAAAAATATGTTTAACCTTATAGTAATAAAATGAAAATGAAATCAACAATGGGTCTTAGTTTTTCATAATAGCTCATGCTGGCATAAATGTGGAGAAATGAATAGTTGTGTAAATGCACACAACCAAAATGTGAGGAAATATGATAGTTTCAATTTTTTAATGTGCACAGTCTTTGAAATAATAATTTTACTTTCAGGACATGGTAAGTGTGCCAGACTATATGTTTGAGACTACTCATGGTTTGGAATAGCAAAAATGTTAAAGCTTCCTATATGTCTAAAAACAGGAGAGTGAAAGATATTATATAACAATTAAAATCATAATATAGGTCTATATTCATTTATGTGAATGTGGGTATTGTGAGGAGGGCAAGAGCATTAGCTCTGAGAAGGAACCACTGGGCTAGTGTACTGCTTACCCTGTAACCTAACTATGTGACAATGGGAAAGATATATAATTTCTCTCTGCCTCAATTTTTTTTTCTGAAAACAGCAATAAGGATAGTATAAACTTACACATTTATATTGAAGTTTAAATTAGTTATATGCAAAAGCCTATGTAAAATAACTATATTTAGAATTTAATAACTATCAATAAATGCTAGCTGATCTTTTCTCTAATTTTTATTTTAAGTTCTGGGGTACATGTGCAGAATGTGCAGTTTTATTACACAGGTAAACATGTGGCATGGTGGTTTGCTGTACCTATCAACCCATCACCTAGGTATTAAGCCCAGCAAGCATTAGCTATTATTCCTAATGTTCGCCCTACCCCCACCCCATGACAGGCCCCAGTGCGTATTGTTCCCCTCCCTGTGTCCGTGTGTTCTCATTGTTCAGATCCTACTTATAAGTGAGAACACGCAGTGTTTGGTTTTCTGTTCCTGTGTTAGTTTGCTGAGGATAATGGTTTCCAGCTCCATTCATGTCGCTGGAAAGGACATGGTCTCATTCCTTTTTATGTCTGCATGGTATTCCCATCAATGATAGACTAGATAAAGAAAACGTGCTATGTAACACGATAACTGATATTTCAGTAGATGTTATAATAGTAATAAGAAAGTACATGGAAAGATAATCAGTACTAGGTCTGCCTTTGCTTAGTCACCCATTAGTTCATGAGTGGCCATTTAACTTCCTTTACTATTTCACTTGAAATACTGTTTCATCCTGTCTTTCATGACATTGGATTCTTCTGTTTTTCCTCTTATTTCAATGCCTTCTTCCTCCTGGTTTCTTTGCTGACTCCCTCCTCTGTTTAAGTTCTAAGTGTCGGAATGCTCCAGATCTCAGGCCTGGCTCTCTGTCCTTTCTCTATCCATATTTTCTTCCTGATCCTTCAATCTAAAAATGAAAGCCACCAGTCCCTTTATTACATCGACTGGATACATTCCATTGCAAATACATACCACCATTTGAATGATCTTGTTTACACACACATTTGTAGGATATATTCTTACTACTGGTAATTTTATTAGTTTCTCCTTACTAAGATGCAAGTCCCATGAGAATAAGAACCTTGTATGTGCTTGTTCATCTTTGCATCCCAGCATATGGATCAGTGTCTTGTATAAGAGTTCTTGAATGAAAATTTGTTGAATAACTGTATTACCTAGGAAAGAACATCTTTTAGAACACGTGCATACCTATAATGCATTTGCATAAACATAATATTCACAATAACAACAGTAATAGCAAGCGCATACACAATGTTTATTATGTGCCCTACTTATATTAACTAAATCGTTCAATCACCACACTAATTTTAAGAGACAGGCACTTTAATTCTTCTCATTTTAAAAATTAGAGTATTGAGGCAAACAGAGTTGAAGTGATGTCTAAGGCTATGCAACAATTCCATGTAGAGGAAAATGCATATTATAGAAAAAAATAGCATAATTTTGTTTATATCTGGCATTTGTCTATTTTTTATTTAAAAATAAATGTCTGTGTTGCTTAGGTCTCCCCAATAGGTGTATACTCTTTTTACAACACTTTTATATGGTAATTTTAAGGGAAATGTAAAATCCTATCTTCGCAAAACTACCCCCGAAAGAAGAGCCTTTGGAATCTGTGGGTTTCCACTTAATTTTAAAATAAGAAGGCAGGAGGATTTGTGGAATAGAAATGCCTCCAATGCATTACCAAGTTGGCAGTATCTGCAACAAAGAGATAAAAATTCAAAAGTAAGTATGAGTGTATTGGGCAGATAGGATTTGGGGCAAAGTAATAAAGAAAGCAGGGGATTGCAGGTGGAAACAGAACCTGCCTAATGAAAACATTTAAAACAGAGTTTAGGAGATGATGTCCTTCAGGTTTGGGGGCAGATTGGTTTTCAGTGACTGGCTTCCTTGATGCTGAGCCAAGTCTTGCCCACTTTTTCGGCTTCTGTCACATAAAATACTATAGCTTGTTTCACCTAAAGTGGGAACACTGTAGTTTTCCTTAAGCTCACACAGAGTTGATATGTATTTGAAAATACCCATCAGTAATTAGAGAACAGTGGAAGAAACAAATGACAGCTGCAGCCTACAGTATATTCTCCAAGTCTATTTCCTCACTTCATTTAGTTAATTCAAGTATAGCAATTTGAGAGAATGTTAAGGCATATGAAGTGGTCACAAGAAATTGATTACTAAAGTAAAACATGAGGACCTAACATTCTCAAAACTTGACAATCAACAAAATAATAAATTCACAATTATATTCCTCCATGTCCTGATTTTTTTTAACTCTAGGTTGACTATAAATTAAATTAAAGGTGCTCTCAGATAAAATTTCAGTTTAATTGTTCTGTAGTACTCTCTATATGGCTGGCCATTATTGTGAGGTCAAATTTAAATATAGAAACAGGATTTTGGAGATAATCTAGTCTAACCCCTTCATTAAACAGATCAGGAAAACGAAGCTCAGAAAGTCAGGCAGCTTGCCTAGGAACACAGCACTGCTTCTTTGGGTGTTCAGGACTCATTTCTTCTAGTGTGTAACACTTTATCTTCATTCATAGATCTTCTCCTTAGCTCTCTTTCCAGGAGGTTAAGAAGAATAAACTACTGGATTTCAAATGGAAATTAAGGAGTAAATTAAAGAGTAAACAATTTTGTACAGAGAAAGAGGCACTAAAATATCCACTGGGATATGAGACAGATTAGGCCAGCCTTGGTAAAATTGTGAAGTGGTTTTCTGGAGACCCCAGGAATCTCTAGCTCCATTCTACTCCCTCAGCCAAGTGCCTTACACCCTCTCCTTGACTCCTGAAAACTACAAACTACAAGCCACAAAACTAATAACAGATTGTCTCTTGACAATCTGTTATTAGTTCCAGTTTTGCACTCATGACTTCCTCTATTTGAGAAGCTTTTCCCCCAGATACCTGTGTGTCTATCTTTGATGCTTTCTCCAACCTCTTTCATGAACACCACCCCCAGTCTCTCATATTACCCAGTTGGCTGTAGAGCTAGATTAAACCAGGTTTACATTATGGCTTTAGTCTTTGTTAGCTGTGTAATCTTGAACAATGATTTAATTTCTCTGTGGTTCAACAACTCATCATTAAAGTTGCAAGGGTACTTACCTTACAGAGTTGTGATAATTAAATGAGTTAATATTTGCAAGATGCAAAACATTAGCTCCTGTTGCCCTATTTATTACCTTTCTTTTCAGTTTTTGAGACATGGTCTCGCTCTGGCACCCAGGCTGCAGTGCCGTGACATGGTCATGGCTCTCTACAACCTCTTCCTCCTGGGCTCAAACAATCTTCCCACCTCACTCTCCAGAGTAACTGGAACTACAGGCAGGTGCCACCACACCCAGCTAACTTTTGTATTTTTTTAGTAGAGATGGGGTTTCCCCATGTTGCTCAGATTGGTCTCAAACTCCTGCAATCAAGTCATCCACCTGCCTCAGCCTCCCAAAGTGCTGGGATTACAGACATGAACCACCGCGCCCGGCCTTTAGTACCTTTCATGTCTTTGTATTATGTTCTCTTAATACATTTACTCATTTTTTAATTAATTGTTTATCTCTGCTGTTAAGATAAAATTCTAGGAGAGTAAGGAACTTGATTTTCTTTTCTTTTTCTTTTTTCTTTCAAGACAGGTTCTCGCTTTCTCAGCCAGGGTGGAGTGCAGTGGTATGATCACAATCACAGCTCACAGCATCCTCAACTTCCTGGGTGCAAGCGATCCTCCCACATGAGCCTCCCAAGCAGCTGGGACCACAGGTGTAGACCATTATGCTCAGTTAATTTTTAAAACACTTTTTGTAGAGATGGGGTCTTACTATATTGCCCAGGCTGCTCTTGAACTCCTAGGCTCAAGTAATCCTCTTATCTCAGCCTCCCAAATGATTTTCTTTTTCAGCTTATATCCCAAGTATTCAGAAAGTTTCTTTGCAAAGAGAAGGCCCTCAGTAACTATTTCTTAAGGAGCCAACAGTCATTTACATTTCAGTGGGCACTCAGGTATGTCCTCAGGCCCCAAAAGCCCCAGCTTCATTTTTTTTTTTTTTTTTTTAACTTTAGGTTCTGGGATACATGTGCTGAACGTGCACGTTTGTTACATAGGTGTACATGTGCCATGGTGGCTTGCTGCGCCTATCAGCCTGTCATCTAGGTTTTAAGCCCCGCATGCATTGAGGATTTGTCCTAATGCTCTCCCTCCCCTTTCCCCCAGCCCCCAACAGACCCCAGTGTGTGGTGTTCCCCTCCCTGTGTCCATGTGTTCTCATTGTTCAACTCCCACTTATGAGTGAGAACATGTGGTGGTTGGTTGTCTGTTCCTGTGTTAGTGTGCTGAGAATGATGGTTTCCAGCTTCATCCATGTCCCTGCAAAGGACAAAAACTCGTCCTTTTTTATAGCTGCATAGTATTCCATGTGTATATGTGCCACATTTTCTTTATCCAGTCTCTCACTGATGGACATTTGGGTTGGTTCCAAGTCTTTGCTACTGTAAATAGTGCTGCAACAGACATACATGTGCACGTGTCTTTATAGTAGAATGATGTATAATCTTTTGGGTATATACCTAGTAATGGGATTGCCCAGCCTCATTTTTCACCACTGAATGAAGCTCTGTTGTGTTTAAAGGTGTTTCAGGCCTCAGTAAGGAAGACTGTAGAAGGTGTTGCAGACTCATGTGTACAGGCACAACCAATTCTGTGTCTACATGAGTGACCTCTGAGTGCTGAGCAGAGTCCTTTCCCCAAGTGGTTTTCCCACGTGAACCACAATAGTTTCTGGAATTCCATTCTCTTCTTCACTTAAGCTCAGTCTTTACCAGAGGTTCACTAAAATATTCAATGCAAGATATCTGTATTCATATACACGTGAATTCTAACTTCTAGGTTATCAACTAGTTTAATCATTTTGCTAGTAAATAGGACTCTGACAACAAAACCAAAGTTCGTGGTTATAATCACCTAATTAATCTGACCAGCACTATGTAAGTATCTAAACAACAGTACAGGCAAAATGATAGAAATGAAATGTGGAGGCAACATAGCTTATTAATTTTTTTGCTATGGAAACTTTATATTTTAAAAAATTTATTCAACTTTTAGTTTTTCTCCATTCTATGTCTGAAATAAATGAATATGAAATAGAATGCCAAACAATCAAACAATATATAGAAAGCCATGTCTTGGGAAATGAAATAAACTAGCCTTAGAAAAGTCAAGGATGAAAGAAAATCAACTGCTTTCCAAGTTTAGGTCACATTTGACCTAAAGTCTAAGAGACCAGCAATAGACTGAAGGAAGTACAGATAATCAGGCCAAGCATAAATATCACCAGAGGTAAGGAAATGTGAAGAGCTGATTTTGGAAGTGAAAAAAACTTTTGAAGACATGGATACCCAACAGCTACCTGGTGCAGGAGCTACAATCAGTAGGCATTCAATAACTGCTGCTTATTGAATAATGTATAGCATAGAGGTAATAGGCTTTTTCCTTCTTTCTTCCTTCCTTTCTTTGTTTCTTTTTCTTTCTTTCATTCTTTTTCCCTCTTTCTTGCCTCCTTCTTCTTCATATTGTTGTTATTATTATACTTCCTATGGCCGTACAAATTAAAAGCACAATTAAATTAATATTTATTTTGTGCTCCCACCAATTAAGTAAAAATAAAACAAATTTTTGTGACTGAATTCTACCTGGGCATCTAGTGAAGATGTTTTGAGATGAGGGGGAGAAAGAATGCAGAGATAGAAGAGGATAGACTCACGGCTTCATTTATTTTACAGTTTAGATTAGCGCTTGGAAAAGTCGAGAGATTTTTGTTAAATTTTCACTTATATACCTGCTGATGTTTAGAAGAACCATTTCAATAAACTTGTGTTTCTATTCCCTATTAATAAAATAGGGGCTATGAATTACTTTGTCTACACAAACAAAATAAAACCATATTAAAATTATGAGACTACAATTATAAGAAAACCATATTATGTTAAATGACATAACATAAAGCAGATATATAAAATTAATTTTTCCAATGTCTTTATTTTATAAGAACATGGCACCACAAAAAGTTGTTACTTGTGCAGTCCACCAATGATCAATCTGTGGTAAGATTCTAATTTTCTCACTCCCAGTTTGCTGCTCTTTCTCCCAGAGGGAT